ACTTCATAAGTGACTAAATAAAGAAATAGTAAGAAAGTTGCATAAGAAGTCAGAGATAGACTGTTTTTACTGATGTGGAAGGAAAATGCTTAAGTAAGGCCTATTATGCCTCCTGTAATTCAGTTTCAGTCCTCTAAGATACTAATCAATTCAGTTGCTGGCCTAGTCAAATGAGGTTGCAGAAGAGGGAAAAGTAAGTGTGAATCTAGCAGTCATGGAATTCTAAGTTTTATAATAGGATTAAAAAAGAATCTTAAAGCTCACACAAAAGGCTGAACAGAATAAGAAATGCTAAACCTAAGCTAATCAAAGTAATTGGGAGTGTGGTAGGATCTTACCTATTTGAATCACTCCATGTAGGACTGAATTCATAGCGATACTTGACAATCTTACTAATTAAGGCTTATTGTATGACTGTGTACTGCTTCCAAATATTTCTTTCAGTTTGTTTGGTTTGGGGGCAATGCACAGTGGTGCTCAGGGCTTACTCCTGGCTGATCACTCCTGGCAGAGCTCCATGGACCAATTGGGAATGCAAGGAATAGAACCCAGGTTTACTGTGTGCAAGCCAGTGTACCATCACTTCAGCCTTCTTCCAAATATTTGACATTGAGGCTACAGATATTGCTCAATGATCTAGTTGCATACTTTGCAAGCGGGACAGCTAGATTCAAATCTTGGCACTGTTTTTTTTCCCTAGAACACTACCTGGAGTAACTTTTGAGATTGCTGGGCATAGCTCAAAAATAAGCAAACCAAATGGGGAAAAAAACCAATGGAAATATAATTTATTCAGTGGCTTAAAATCATTTGCCAACTGCCTATATAGAAATGTAACAATGAATCAATACGAATTAATTTTAGTTATGTATTGCTAGTTTGCTGAGGTAACTCACTTGTTTATTTTTTTCATAACTAAGAATGCAAACCAGAAAGAGTAAAAATTATACCAAGAACTTCTTTATTTTATCTCTGTTTACTATCTTTGAAAAAAGTGAAACATATTATGTATAAGATTTATATGTAGTTGTTTTTTGTTTTTTTTTTTATGAATGAACTGAACTTTGGTCCAGCTCTGCCACTTTTTCTTGATCTTAATCAATTTATTACCACCTTCTACCCTGTTTTTCTTTTTTATATAGGATATATGTTTATGAATCCCAAACAGAGTTGCAAAGAGAAATCTGGTACCAGATTCTATGGTTCTTAATCTTTTTCTGGTTTTGCTTCCTTCCTATGGTTCTCCTAGTCTACTGAATCCTACTTACTCTTAGGTCACCGGTTCGCTTACATGAATTTTGTCTGTGCCAAGAAATTCACATACCATTTAATATTAAGATTATTGACAGAGACAAGTTGAACAGAGTTTTCATTACTTATTTAACTTACATCTTTCAAACCCTATCTCTAATGGCCGAAGTGGAGATTATGAAGGTCATTTTAAAATGCTTCTTTCCTGTAGTTCTTCTGTCCTATTAGTTAGCTCCTTGGTCTCGTGTCATAATGCCCATTTACATGATTTTCACCTGTGGCATCACCAGCCCCTGCCCAGTTGAGAAATGCTGCTCCATATAGTGTTATGGTGATTACAATTAATTAGTATTTTTGAAGGGTAGTTATTGTTATGGAGTTCACACTGAAAAGAGCTATGGAGAAAAGCAAACTCTGTCCCATGTAATTTAGGCTGCAGCCTCTTTTAAAATAAAAAATATATATATACATTTTTATTTAGGTAATACAAGGAGGGGGAGAGAAAGAGAAAGAAATGGTGATGTGTTCAAGAGAAAGTGGACTAATGCAGAAGGCAAAGCGCCTAGATGTTAGACTTTCATCATCATTTCCTTTTAAATAAAAGAACCTGAATCTTGAGCCAAGAAGCTCACAAACCATTTAGCATTACTGGTGTTGACAGCTGGAGATAAAGCCAGGGATGCAGTATTTTCATTACTTATTTAATGTATATCCTCTAAAAATCCATCTACAATGGCCAAAACAGAAACCATAAAGAGCAAAGAGCATTTTAAAGGATAATTAGGTAAATGCTGAGAGTCATGTTCAAATGATAAATAGGCAAATTATTGAGGTCAAGTTCAAGATAGCCTTTGAAGGATCAGAGAGAGTATAGCAGGGCAGGGTACTTGTCTTGCATGTATCCTTTGTGTGTCCAACCTAGGTTTGATCCCCTGTACCCTAGAAGGTCCTAGGAGCAGAGTCAGTAAGCCCTGAGCATAGCTGGATGTGACCCCACCCCAAACAAACAAACAAACAAATAAGATAGCCTTAGAAATAGGAGTTTTAGAGTAGAGTACACCTTGTTTACTTAAATACACGGTCAAGAGGTCAACATAAAAGTTGCAGTTTCTAATGTCAAATGTCACTGTCCCTAAAATTAACAGAACCATTCTTAGGAAGAGGTTTCCTTAAAAATGAAGACCTAGAAAAAACAAAAGTATTATTCTAAGGTATTAATAAACAGACTGCTACGTGGTTTACTTAATATACATCAGTGACATTGAAGGCTTATCTTTTCAAGTAGGTGGAACAGTGTTCTAGAAGGCAAATTAATTTCATGCAAGGTTGTCCAAGTTCCTGATATTGTATGATCCCAAACACTGCATAAAATTCCCCAAGAATTATAGTTTATTTCTTTAAGATTATAGGGCATGCATATACATTTAAAATTATGAGTGAATTTTGTGGCCTTCAAAAATCCTTCCTAGATAAGCAACAAAGACAATTATGAAGAGATGACTTCAATGTTTTGGCAATACTTCAAAAACTAATGCAAGGCAATTTGAGAATAATGTGATTCTTTGAAAAAAGCTTCACATTGTGTCACAGTAGATTAGTTCCTCTTGTCTTCTCTCCCACTCCCTAGTAAATAAATTAGAGCCCCATCTGAGACTAAAGAGGTTACATACAAAGAAGGGAAGATAAGAAATGACTAAATTGAACTGGCTGGGTATTCTAAAGTAGACTGTGACCCAGTGAACAGAATTAGTAAAGAAAAATACATTAGTGCAATTACTCTAAATTCCCAAAATTTAAATCCAAATTCCAGTTACTTTTAAAATCTTTACATCTTGAGACTACTTTTAAAAGACTACTTTAACAAATGGCTGGACAGGTTTCATTTGCTAATATTGTTCTATAATTTCAGTAAATCTGTAAGGGTAGTTCAGATTAACTAAATTTAAAACTACTTTAATTTTACTCGGGAACAATACAAATTCATCCAAAAATTCATGTGATTCTAACATTACAGTTCCCAAACTGTGAGTGAGGTGTGTTGCAGCATCATAATGCATTCAGCAGCCCCGAATTTTTTAAATAATCTTAAATTATCAAGGTAACACAATAATACCTGGCATCTCTTGAGTACCCATATACTAGAGGTAGTTGATATTTAATATATTAACACTGTTATTATAGATGGCACTGTGTCTTTGAAGAGCAAGGCAACATGAAAATCAATGTGGAATAGGAAATAAGGGTGATAATTTCTAATATGATCTCCAGGTTTGGGAAGTTCCCACTAGTAAACTATTTACTAATAACAGTTTAGCTATTTGAGCCTAATTACTTAGGATTTGTTGGCTTGTTTAGATCTGGGACATCATATAAAATTTTCTTAGATATTAAAGACTTAAGGTCTAAGAAAGTTTAGAAGTTGTTCTAGTATTTGTGTAAACATGTAAAGGTGTCAATGACAGGAAGAAAAGTTTTGTGCAGTTGATTTTTTCACATGTAGAATTAGCTAATGTTGGGAAACATGTGAGTCTAGGATATCATATTTAAAAACACAATTCAGAGCTTAAACTAATCCTTGAGAGGCAATCATATATTCACCAATTAAAAAAAAAAGGAAGCCCCCCATTTTTTAATAGAAACATAGAAAAACTTCAGAGGGAAAGAGTGAGGTGCAAAATAATTAAAGCATATCTTGTTTTACTTCTTTATTTTCCAATCTCTAGATTCTGCTTGTGTCTGTGAGGATTCTTTTAGGCAAATGAATGTTTCTTATGAAAACTGAAAAGCCAGTTAATTTTTATAAAGGAAAAATATATATGTATATATATTACACATTCTAAATATATTACACATTCTATATATATGGACATGTATATATATGTGTGTATATACATACACATATATATATATATTCCTTTTAAGGTTCTTCAGTTTGCATAAAAAGTAAAGTCTTACAACTTTTTTAAACTGGAATCTGACCTGATGGTGCTTAAGGGCCAGTCAATGCTGAGGATCAAACTTAGGGTCTCACACATGCTGAACACATGATCTACCACTTGAGCTATATCTCTGACTCCTTTTATTTTCACAATTAATCCCTTATTTTCATAAGTAATAGTGATTTGTAGCACATCAGAGAATCAGCTACTGTTTCCAAAGTACTCTAACCTCGTATTTTATTGGCCAGAATTTATAGATTACATTGTCCCATTATTCTTTCCATTGGCTTATCCTAACACACTCCTTTAGGCACTCTTCCCTCTTCCTTTTCCTTCCCTTTATTGCTGTGGTACCCAGTAATCACATATGCTTGGTTAAGGTGCTCACTCACTGGTTCTGATACTTGCTAGGGATCACATCTGGTTGTGGTTCTCACTGAGGGTTGCTGTGGTGACCACATACATGCTCACCAGGAGTCATGCACACTTCCATTTGCAGTGCTCTCACATCTTTACTGGCAGTGCTCACCAGGGGGTTCCCGCACTTCACTTTGACTTCGCAGACACACCTGACAGACAAGAGACTGCACATTTTTGCAGTACTGGAAATTCCAAACTGCAGAGATGTTGGGACTGTACTTGGCACATGTAACGCCAGAAATAGAACTCATATACACTGCCTGCAAGAAAGGCAATTTAGAGCTATCCCCTAGAACCTCTCCTTTAGGTAATTCTTGGTATAAGTGAATTTCCAATTGAAACTTCGACTTCAAACAAGAGACATAATCACCAAGAGGCATGCTACATTACCATGCTTGTTGATCTCACATAGACATTGTTTTTCAGATGGCAGTTGCCGTCATTTGGCACCACTATGCCTGCCAATTTGCTATCAAGTGCAAGATGAGATGTCTGGTCAGTCATCACCAAAAGCAGTCGTTTAGCTTCTTTTCGCCATCCAATATGACTCTTAAAATAAACATGGAATTAGACATTGATCAGTAAGAGATCTGTTTATCTCAAGTAAGTGTTATGTTTAACAAAGATTGAATCAGGCTATAATTATGAACATAAATATAATACTGCTTCATAAATGAAATTAACATTTATCCTTTCTCAATTTTATTATGCTATGTCCTGACCAGAGATTTCTTGTTCTCCTGGAAGATGAACAAGTCAGGTTTACAAAATGCACAGTACCCAACTTGATGTGAGTAAGGCAACTGCTATATTTGGTTCATACTTGGAGAATGGTGAGTAAAAAGAGAGAGTCTTTGGAAAGAAGTTATTTTCTCCCTTATATCTTTTCCTGCTTATAGCCCTTTCCCAGTTTAGACTCTATGCCCTAAACACATAACAAATGAAGAACATTGGTGCTGAATAAAAGATTGGAAACATACATATTTTTATACTGTATATTAATTTCCTGCACCCCTCTCGGAGAGCCTAGCAAGCTACCGAGAGTATCCCGCCCACACGGCAAAGCTGGCAAGCCATCCGTGATGTACTCAATATGCCAAAAACAGTAACAACAAGTCTCACAATGGAGACGTTACTGGTGTCTGCTCCAGCAAATCGATGAACAATGGGAGGACAGTGCTACAGTGTAGTATATTCATTCATTAAATCTAGGATAAAATAAATTCTGAATTCTTGGGCATTTCCGCATATGAAGAAACATTTAATAATGTGAAACTTATTACCTCGCAAACAGCTGCCTGCAGCATGGCGTCAAAACCTCCCTCTGGTGTATCTATGTTTCCTGAAATCTTTTGTCTGTGAACAGCTTTTTCAAATTCCGTGATGTTCTCCGTTAAAGACAGCACATGAATGTATCCATGGGGAGGCATACAGTCTAAATTGTAGTCACTAAATTGGAAAAAAGTACAGAAATTTACATTTCATTCTTTCAACCGTCTAAAGTACTACTCATTGTAAAACTATATTGTTGATAAGAAAGGAGTCCTTTGGGTTCTTTTTGCCACTTAAGTCTTATTAAAGAAAGTAAAACTGTATGTTATAAAATTAGAGAAAAGATGATATTGGTAAATGTTTCTTTGCAGGAAATATAGAAAGAATGATATGGTATTCAATAAATTAGGATGGTTACACATGTTTCTTTAATATAAATCACAGATGGGGTTTAATATATCAAACTGCACTATGAATTTCTAAGAGGAGGTTAGAATTGTCGTTGATGTTCTATCACATGTAACCAAGAGACAGATCTCAAAATTATTTTTTGGAAATGAGATATTTAAAGTAGTAGGGCTGGAGCGATAGCACAGCGGGTAGGGCGCTTGCGTTGCAGACAGCCAACATTGCCAACCCGAGTTCGATTCCTCCGCCTCTCTTGGAGAGCCCGGCAAGCTACCGAGAGTATCTCGACTGCATGGCTAAGCCTGGCAAGCTACCCATGATATATTCAATATGCCAAACACAGTAACAACAAGTCTCACAATGGAGACATTGCTGCCAAACACAGTAACAACAAGTCTCACATTGGAGATGTTGCTGGGCCCGCTGGAGCAAATCGATGAACAACGGGAGGGCAGTGACAGTGATAGTGACAGACTATTGTTAAATATTTTTAAGCTGTTTTAAAATAGGAGAATCATAATATGGAATTATTGATAAAATAAACTTTATTAAAATTGTTTTGGGAGTTTTATGATATTCAGAAAGTGAGAATCTTCAATTACATGCATATCCACAGTCAGGGAAAATAGGATGTAACATCAGGAGAGGCATGTTCTGTTCTACTACAACAGATAGTAGAGCTGTTTCTATAAATTTGAGTCTGTGGTACCAAATAAAATGAGCAATGTATTAATTAAACATATTAATTAAATCGGGCTGGAATTATGTGCTTCATAAATGTTGTTAATATTTATTCTCAATTGTACTATGCTATGTCGTGGCTAAAATAAAAATGAAAGGTTTTATGTAAGCAAAACAGCCATTTGTTACTGAAAGTTCAATAGGTGAATTAGAATACTGTGTGGAAAAACTTCAATTTATAGATCAGTTCTTTGGGCAGAGTGACAGTACAGCAGACAGGGCATTTGCTTTGTACATGGGCAACCCAGGTTCAATTTGTGGTATCACATGTAGTACCTAAGTCCATCACTCCTGATAAGCTCAGAGACTCTTAGATCCCTTAGCTCAAGTTGTAAACAGACCTTGAGCCAGGAGTAAATCCTGGTCACTGCTGGGTGTGGCCCCCAAACAAAAACTCAAAATAAAACCAATAAAGATAGTTTTCTTTTATGGTAAGACATATACATTTACAACCAGAATTTCAAAATAAGAAAAAGGTTTTAGGTCACACCAGGCAATGCACAGGGGTTACTCCTGGCTCTGCAATCAGGAATTACTCTTGGTAGTGCTCAGGGGACCATATGGGATGCTGGGAATTGAACCCAGGTCAGTCTCGTGCTAGGCAAACACCCTACCCTCTATGCTATCACTCAAGCCCCCCCCAAAAGAGGAAGTTTTTAAAGAGCTGTAGTTTCATCTTTAGACCTATTTTTCATGTTCAAGCTGAGCTGTCTTTGAAGTTTCATCATAAGCACCATAATTATAAACACAATCACAACACAGTTATGGGAAAAACAGATGTAGTATTGCAACATAAGCTAGATACATCTAATTTCAACAACTTTTTAACACTCTGAAAAGATGGAATAAAAAACTCCCATAGTTCTGACAACAGAATTGAGGTTGCCAATGTCAGAGTAGAGTAGAAGAGAAGGGTCCACCATGGACAGTGGTGGAGGGATGCTGGTACATGGTAGAGGACATGGGACATGGGTGTGGTAGGTAACATTATACCCCTAAAATATATGACCATTTACAATCTTGTAAACCAATGTTAACTCAATAATACACATATATATATTCATATAGATACATATATATATGTGTTTCTTTTCAGGGGCCTATCAATTGTAGCTTGATTACTGAGATTATTTAACTCTACTAGTATTACTATGATTTTTGTGATTAAAAATGAAGTCAATAATAGCTGAAGAAATAGGAGTCCAAGCTAGAGATAATCTCAAAAGTTTTAAGACAGGTACACACCCTTTCTCCAAATATTTGTCTTTCTTATTTAATAAGAAAAAATGTATACATCAATAATCAGTAAAAGTAAAATTTTATAAGAAAAAAAATCTCACTTAGAATTATGAAATCCACATATAACACTAGATACCTGCATTGGTTATGGATCCTCTCTGGGTGGATGCTAATGTATGGTGAGACTGTTTTATCAACATATGATCCAAATCCAAGGCGGAAGTCACGGGAAAGCAATGCCATTTTTCTTGACAAATCATTTCCAACTGAATTTAGTTTTTCAATATTATTGTGCATTGATGCTGAGACATCAACCAGATAATAAAGATCAACGGGATATTTCTTGAGAGGATGGATTTTCAGCATGAAGTTAGCTTCAGCTCCTAGTCCAGAGGAAGACAAATAGCACATAGTGTTTTTTCTATTTCTGTGTGCTAAATCAGTTACAGTTTAAATAGAGAACAATTATTACAAATTTGTGCAAAATAAATAAAGTTAAGTGAGTCTGGAATAACTCAAAGGCAAACTGATAACTACAATATGTTTGTCTCTAAATTCTATGATATATTTTTCATAATTCTATAGGACAGATCGAGATAATAATGCATTAGCTATATAAGCAAAATGGGGAGATAATTTATTACCATAAGAACCATTATTTCAATTTGTATCTAGAAAACCATAACATAAAACAATAAGTAGGATTCTTTATCTAGAGAGAGTGTGCTTGAAGGAGGTAACTATCCAATGACATTCCAGTTTGAAGAAAATCGTAATCGTATCTTAAGAAAAATTACCTCTTGTTGTATGTAAATGCAAATTCATTCTTTTAGATTAAGGCATTTTTACATGATATGTGAAAACTGTTATTTAGTTCTATAAACTAATTTAAAAAAATTATCATTAATCAGTTGATAATATTAACTTACTCATTAATCAGTTGATAATATTTCTCCCAGCAATTTGTTATGAAAAGTAGAATGGTTTAAATGATACACAGCAGTGCCACATTCACCGTCTTGGTAATGTAAGGGACAGCATTTGTCCCGCTCATTGTGGGTACTCAGAAACAGTTGTTGAGGAGGGATCACAGAACCTCATTATTGTAACTCTCCTACAAAAACCCCAAGAATTTTGGAGGAGAAATTGGGTATGTGCAATTCAGTCCAGCCAACTCACTCACTCCTTCCGATAGGAGTTTAACTGCTTCTAGAGAATACGCATTTAGTTCTACGTGTTGAACTTGTTGCTGTGGAAATGTCCTGCAACTGGGTGGAGAATTTCATTTCAGGAGAATATTAGAATCTAAAAGACAGCCCAGATTGCTGAGTAATGTAAACAGAGCATAACTGGGAATCATGGTTGATGTGGAGGAACTTGTGTGTGAGCCTACATTTTTCTTTTTCTTTTTCTTTTGCTTTTTGGGTCAAACCCGGCAATACACAGGTGTTGTTCCTGGCTCATGCACTCAGGAATGTTGGCAGTGCTCAGGGGACCATACGGGATGCTGGGAATCGAACCCGGGTCAGCCGTGTGTAAGGTAAACACCCTACCCGCTGTGCTACTGCTCCAGCCCTGTGAATCCACATTTAAAAGAATGTTAAAAACACTTGTTTAATGCAGACTTAATCAAATAGCAAAAGGTATCAGGCACTTAACAACAGATATTTTAGTAGATCACTGTAATTTATGATAACCCTTTCCAAAGATGAATGGCTATTTTTACAATCAGTTTACTGATTAAGGATCAGTTTACTGTGCAAATTTTTAGATTTCTCTTAGGTTATCTGAGCCAAGCTATAGTCTGGATAGCATCAACCAGGGGCACTCCGACTGAACAGTAGACACCCAGGGGCTCACAGTACACCTGAGCTGCTGTTAGTCTAGCAAGCAAATCCTGGTCTATTTACTCTCAGCAAACAAGAGCACTAGGAGACTTGAAAAATGGTTAGGATTGGAAGGTGTAGGTTGCTGATGCTTGATTTTGGATTACCCAAATGCAGACATTAACACATACATCTGGGTCAGTTGAATATTTTTTTCATGGACAGAGACCTCAGTAAGACAAATGGAAAAGTGGGAAAGACAATCTTTCATATATAGATAGGCTGCTGCTTTAAAATTTTGATAAGTTGAGTTTGCCATGATGATCTAGTTCCTTAAACATGTTCTAACAGCCTTAAAGGTGCTGACCCCAAGCCCTACTCTGCCTGGTTAAGGAAGACAGGGCCACACAAGCATCACTATCTTCTACCCATGAGATTGACATACTATCCGTATATGTTCACAGGTTGACTTCCAATTATATAATTCCATCTCATTGATATGTGGGGATCTAATAGATATGTGAGTCTCCTCAGGGAGACATAGAAATATCTTTTTCTAAAAACATAGCATTTATGTCCAGAGATAAAATTCCTACTCTGTTCATAATAGGGGTGTCACCAGCACCAGGCTGAAAGATGATGTTAAAGAAGATTTGAATATAACTATGTGAAAAAGAAGCACATGTAGAAATATGACAATACATGCAACCATCATTGTAATGTTATCAATTGTAGGCAGAAGTGTCTTAAATGCTACTTTGAGAAAGGACGTGAAGGTATAAAGGTTTGAGAAAGGGCATGTGGAGCTATGTCCTTTCAGTGCTAAAAGCCAATTAATTGAGGTGATATATCTAAATTAGTTACCATAGCACTTGTGACAGCATGTATGTGATGCATATTTATAACGATTAGCAATATTATTATTACTAAAGTGTAAGCAATGTTAGGTTAAGTGCTGTTTATTCATCTATAAAGCATCTGGCTTTGGTACTTACAAAGCCATTCAAGTATTTTTTAACTAAACTATATTTCAAGCACATTTTGAAAGGCCCACATTATAAAACAGCAAAAGAGTGTTTATCTATGACTTCTTTCCCACAACAAAGAAAAAAAATTTCTCTATTTAAGAGGAAGCATAACGTCTAGTCCAAAAATATTTATGTTGCCACTTATATTATCTTTAGGATATTTCCATGCTCATACATCTGAGATTATTGAGGCTTAAAACTTTATTTCCTTCAATTTCTCTTTAAGGGGAAGAAGGGAGTTTGTGACATTAAATAAAAAAAAATGAAAAGAGGACTTGGAGGAAACTTGAGACCTACTTAAGGCTATTGCCAGTTCTTGTTTGAATAGCTCAAGAAAGGAAAAGTTGTTAAGATGCATTTTAAATCATGCAGATAATGGTTTGTGCATCTTGGAAGTTCTTCCTGCAGTAAACACGAGTGAACATTAAGAAAAGGTAGCACAAAACATTTCCACATAAGATGAAACTGGAAAAATCCTTTGAAAAATGCAGGGAACTATAGCAGGAAGAAAGGGCAGCCCAATTCTATTCATAATCCTTGAGCAGGCAAAGGAGAAGGTTGCACACTGTGACTGCTGTGAAGTAAGACCCAGCACATTTCTGCATTTCTGTGGGAGATAAAACAGAATTTGTTTCCAGAGATGGAGAGGGGGAAATGTAGCACTTCTATTTTTAAGTTTTTTAAACTGAGGAATAATGTCTAAAAAAACTAGCTATGCTAAATGAAAATACTTAATTTTCTCATTGCAATAAAAAGTGAATCAAGCTCAAAACATTACTTGGAATTAGTATAGATCTTAATAATTCTAGATAATAAAAACTAGAACATCAACTAGATTAGTAGTCTACTTCTGTTATTTTTTTTGTATAAGGGAAAATATAAAGCAATACTTTAAATAGTTAAACTGAATTTTTAAAAAAAATCTCATTTTAAACATATATGTATATTTATATAGTCCTAATAAAATTTTTAAAATTTTTACTTAGTATATAACAGAAATGTTAATCAAAAATTTTAAATTTCCTAATAGATGCAATGTTGATTTTAACTTTTTTATCAGATAAGAACAAAGGACAGCTCTAAAGTAAATCAATAAAAATCAGTATTAAAGAAAAAATACATTTTAGGCATGTATTCAGTTATAACCTTGCCCTTTTGTGTTGTGGTAGAAAAAAGAAGGCCAAGTGTTAAGGTGCTTGCCTTTCATGCAGCTGACCCTGGCTTGATCCCTGATATTATATATGGTTCCTTGAGCACTCCCAGGAGTGACCTCTAAGCATAGAGCTAGGAGTAAGCCCTGAGCATCACCCATGTGTTAAAAGCCAAAAATAAGTAAATTAAGAAGGCTGACAACATAAATGATTTTCCCACATACCTGGAGTTAGTAAAATACAATTTTCAATAGATTATGTCTCAAGGCTGATTTACCCTTGATGCCCAAATTCAGTTTTTTGATGACCATATTAATCTAACAAGCATTTGCTTTGTACGTAGATTATAAAATATAATTTTTGTGTGTTGGAAAGATGATTTACATAATAATTACACTCTCTTCCACACAAAATTTTAAGTAGTGGGAAACTGAATAAGATCAAACCCCATTAACAATTGACATAGATATTAAACAGAACACCTCCGGAACCAGCCACAGCCATGCTGAGACCACTCTCCACACATTCAAACGAGTCTCACGCGTGAAGGAACTGACAGAGGAACCCAGGCATGCAGGATCTGGGGCTGAGATCTCCAAGTCTGCCCGGATTGGGACTGGGCCTCCTCCACCCAGATGCCCCATCTTCCAGCATGTAGGCGTTACACCCACCAATTGCCCTGGCACCGTGTAATCCCATCAATGGTCAAGACCCAGAGATTATAAAACCCAGCTCCTGGAAGGGTGTGTCTGCATTCGTGGCCGCATCTTTTTATCTAGTTCTTACTCTGGAGAACCTGGTAGGCAACCGAAAGTATCCTGCCCGCATGACAGAGTCTTGCAAACTCCCCATGGCATATTCAATATGCCAAAAACCAGTAACAATGATGGGTCTCATTACCCTGACCCTGAAAGAGCCTCCAATGTGGCACTTGCTAAAATCTCAGGGCTAGGACGACGGAGACGTTACTGGTGCCTGCTTGAGGAAATCGATGAACAACAGGATGATAGTGATATAGTGATTAAACAGCTTTTCAATCTCCTACTCCTCTTATGATCCACTTATGCCTCCACTATTATCTTATATTAATCTTAACCTGTACCACTCCCTTGAATTTCAGCCTCATGTAGGTTTAGTTTTGACTTCAAATTAAGGTGTTCTGGTTTAGACTCAGTACAGCTTTTCCACAGGGAGCAGAGACCAGGTGTCCCATCACCAACCAGGACTCTCTTCACCAACCCCTGGATATTCTTCCCCATCATAGATCTCTGTGGTTGCTTGTCTATAGCACTGAAACATTTCCCGACTTTGGAACTGTTAACTTGAAGTCTCGGGAGGATTCTACCACCATTATATTAAACAGAAAATAAGGTAAATT